TTCCTGACCCAGGAATTGAACCTGGGTCTCCCACACTGCAGGCAGATTCTTTACTATCTGAGTCACCAGGGAAGCCCCAGGGTCAAATCAATCTGAGTTCAAATCCCAGTAATGTCATTTAGTATGGTATCAGGCAAATTTGAAAACGTATTGCTATATTGGAGTGTCCTTATCTATAAATTCAAGGTGAAAACCTCCTTTATGTTATAAGATTGCTGCAAAGATTTAAAAATGAATTAACTCCTAGAATATTTTGCTTGTAGATAGGCACATAATAAATGTTCAATGAATTAATTGTTATCTTTATACTATTCGGTCTCTGGATCTGGGTTATTACTTCATAATTTTTTAATTTTTCATTTTTTGATTTTAACACTGTTAATTCTGCTCTTTGAATCTTCTGAGATGATTTAAAAAACTCTTCTACTTTAGTCTTTTATATGATTTGAATTTCTTTCTCACCTAGCTCACTTTGATTTCTGCCTATTTCTCAGTATTATCAATTTTCATCTGTGTTATTTATCATTTACCTTCAGTCTCTTGTTAATGGATTACAAGTTCTTTTTGATCTTAATAGCATGAAACTGGTGATTTTTAAGTTTTACAAGCTTCCTGAATTAAATTCTCCCCTGAGCATGATAGTCTTCTCTAATTTGAGTGCTATAGTCTCTTGTTCTTTTTGAGTTACAGTTTTTTTCCCCCATCAGTAAAATGCACTTCTATAGTTCATTTGCCATATTCCCTGACTTTTATCTTCATACTGAGTGTTTGATCAGGAAAATCAAATCATTTTCATGTCATTTTACTGGGCAACTAGTTGTTGTTAATAAAAACCTTCACTGGGATTAGGAAGGTGTCAATTAAGGTAAATTTGCATTAGCCCCACAGCAATTGTAAAAAATCAACTCTTTTCTTCTCAGTCTTAGGTGGAGGAGGAGAGCTGAAAATTGTGGGCATTTTGTACCCAGCTCAGGATAAGGTTTGCCCTGAGTTCTTCTTCAAGTTGTCCATTTGTTTTCACCTACTGTCTTTTTGTACCTCAAAACCTGTGGTCATTTCATTGGTATTTTCATTCCAATCCCAAAGAAGGGCAATGTCAAAGAATGTTCAAACTACCACATGATTACACTCATTTCACATGCTAGCAAAGTAATGCTCAAAATCTTTCAAGCTACGCTTCAACAGTACATGAACCGAGACTTTCCAGATGTTCAAGCTGAATTTAGAAAAGGCAGAGGAACCAGAGATCAAATTGCCGACATCCACTGGATCATACAAAAAGCAGGAGAATTCCAGAAAAACATCTACTTCAGTTTCATTGACTATGTGAAGGCCTTTGACTATGCGGATCACAACAAGCTGTTGAAGATTCTTAAAGAGATGGGAATACCAGGCCGCTTTACCTGCCTCCTGAGAAACCTGTATGCAGGTCAAGACTCAAGAGTTAGAACTGGACATGGAACAATGGACTGGTTCCAAATTGGGAATGAAATATGTCAAGGCTGTATAATGTCATCCTGCTTATTTAAATTTTATGTAGAGTACCTCATGTGAAATGCTGGACAGGATGAAGCACAAGCTGGAATCAAGATTGCCAGAGAAATATCATTAACCTCGGACGTACAGATGATACCACCCTTATGGCATAAAGTGAAGAGAAGCTAAAAAGGCTCTTGAGGAAGATGAAGGAGGAGAGTGAAAAAGTTGGCTTAAAACTCAATATTCAAAAAACTAAGGTCTTAGCATTTGGTCCCATCAACTCAGTGCAAATAGACGGGGAAACAATGGAAACAGTGACAGACTTTGTTTTCTTGGGCTCCAAAAATCACAGCAGACGGTGACTGCAGCCATGAAAATAAAAGACCCTTGCTCCTTGGAAGAAAAGCTGTGACAAACCTAGACAGTACATTGGTATTTTTAAAGTGTCAGCAGGTAATTCTGTTGTACAGCCAGCATTGGAAACACTGTTCAAGGTGTTTGACACCAGTGGTCAAGTCTCAGTTTTATCCAGAAATTCTTATGAGGACTTCCACATCCCAAGAGCAACTTGCAAATATAGGATGAAAAAAGAGAAATGCCTGGATAAAAATGATGAACCATTAAAAGAAAGTAATAAAATTAGCAAGGGAAAATCACAGGACAACAAAAATTAAATGAAATGATTCTTAGGAAGAAATAGGAAATTATGGTCAGAGTAACAAAATGCTGAAGGCAAGAGAAAAAAAAGAATATTAGCGAAGAGAGCTGGAAGAATAGAAGCATGAGACAGAATATTTACCATTCATGAGTTTGGCTACCAGAGGATTAAATGAGATAAATCCCAGTAGTGTGGAGGGTCCAAGGGTTAACAGCCCCACTCAGGTGCAAAGGGCCCCCTTGGGCCACAGAGTCTAGATTCTGTGCCCTCCAAAGGCCAGGGTTCAGAGCAGGGAGTTCTTGAAAGTTCATTTTCTCAGCTGGAGCCTCGGGGTAGAAAGCCCTGTAGTTATCAGTCCAGTGCATCTTTAGACTAGTTGCAAAGGGCTCCAATTAACTCTGCGTAGCTCTTGCTGATTTTTTCCCTCCAGCCCTGTTAACATGCGAAGCTACTGCCCAGAGAGACAGTCCTGGCATTTCCTTTCAAACCCAGGACTGCTCAGAAAGACCCTTCCCAATCTGATTTGAAATTCTGTCAAGAAGGAGTAGATTCAAGAATCTGCACATATACCATTTTTTAAATTTCCTTAAGATGTTTAAATGTAAACTTAATTATTGGCATAATTAGCACAGCACCTGGCACAGTGCTAAGAAAATAATTGATACACAGAAGATATTTTCTCAGTTTTATTGTTGTATTACATTGAGCTAAACTCTAAAAGAGTTGAATTCCTTTGTCAGATAGTGATCAAATTTATTATTTACTATCATATAGCTGATAAGCCAATAATAATAATCTTTCAGATGACTTAAATCTATATTACAAAGGAAAAAAAGAAAGACTTTTTAATTTATAATGCAGTTGATAATATCTCTCTTGCTCTGAAAACTGGTTCAGTCCTCATATGTAGTAGACATTAGTCTTGTACCTGAAAAAAAAAGTGGTTTCCATATTGTAAAATCTCTCATTTTTCTCTCTTCAACAGCTAGTAGTAACAATTAGTGAGTCTCAACTCTATTGGTCATAAGGTGTTACTGGATTGCTTATGAAATACAGATTCTTGGGCTCCATGCACAGGATTCTGTATATTTGGGCTAGGATTGAGAATCTGCCTTTTACCAAGGGTTATAGTTGGTCCTCTTGCAGAGGTTTATGAACCACACGTTAAAAAGCCACTGGACTGAGAGGAAGAGCAGGTGAGACGGGATCGCTTTCACCTGCTGGGCTTGAATCTGTCCCTGATTTGTTTGTCCCCGCCACTTGTTGCAACTACGTGTGGGCAGAAGGATGCGAGGGCAGTGAGTAAACAGAAGTGGTGTAACTAGGGCCTCTGACCCGTAAGAGCAGTGCTTCTGAAAGTTGCTGGTGAAAAGGAAGTGAGAATTATTTAGGATCTTGGTAAACTTCAGATTTTCATTCAGTAGGTCTGAGACTGTGGTGATACATTTCTAACAATCCCAACTCTCTCATCCCCCGGCCATGATGCCCACTAGAAAGGCAGAGAGTTCATTATTTATATTCTAAATGCCAAATTCCTGTTAGGGCTAAAGAAGAAAGAGACCAGGGCAATTCAACTTGTGAAACAGAATTGTAATCTTGTCGTGAAGTCTCATCTGTGTATTTCAATTACACACATTTAACCACATACCTTGGAAGTGGGGAAACCATGAAAAAGAGTGAAAAAACGTTAAAAACAATCTTACAGGCAAAAGATGCTATCCAATCCTGAAACTGTTAATGTCTGTCAGAAGGAAAGTATATGTGAATAGTTTTAGGGTTTCCCAACTATTGACTAAAAGGGAAACTCTTTGCTGGGGTGCCTACAAAAAGAATGAAGAACTGAGAGACATAGAAAATCACCGATTCATGAGAAGTTAGAGGCATACACAGAATCAAATGCACTGTACTTTGTGGGCCAAGGGTTCCCAGGGGGCTCTAGTGGTAAAGAACCGTCCTGCTAAGGCAGGAGATGTAGGAGACACATGTTTGATCCCTGGGTCAAGACGATCCCCTGGAGGAAGGCATGGCGACCCACTCTAGTGTTCTTGCCTGGAGAATCCCATGGACAGAGGAGCCTGGCAGGCTACAGTCCATGGGATTGCAAAGAGCTGGACATGACTGAAACAACTTAGCATGCAAGGAGTTGTCAAAGGGACTTTAAATTATGAGTAATTTGCCTTCTGTCCAACTTTGGAATTTAACCCCAACCATTAGTCCATCCATAAGTTAAGATGCTGCTCTTTATGTGTATGTTTATGTACATATACATGTATATATTATATATAAAATTATCACACCTGAGGAGCCCACAGAGAAATAACTTAATAAAAACTTCAATGCCATGCAATTTTTTTTAATTCAACTGAGAAATCTTACCTCACAGTTGTTAAAACTGCATATGACTGGTCTTTGTTCATCCATTCTATTTTTTCATTAGACAGTGAGCTCCCAGAAGACAAGTATCTTGTTTTATATTTATTTTAAGTCTTGTTTAGTAACTTGCTGAAAGCAGACAATCAATGCATTTTTATTGAAGGAATGAAGGAATAGATAAATGAACAAATGCAGGGTTTTGTTACTAACCCTGTAGTTAACATAATGTTACAATTGTTTTATCATGCTGAGATGAAGTTTCAACTACTGATTCTGACTAAAGTCTCAGCAGTGTGATAGTTCTCTGATTTTATGAAATAATATGTAGAACTACCACAACTTAAATATGTATTCAGAACTTAATATACATATTCCCAAGAGGGAAAAATATTGGAAGGATGTATAGAATCAAAAATTAGTTCCAAAACTTATACCTCATAATGGAGCTCAAGGGATATATATTTGCAATTAAAAATAATTGAAGCCAGGCGAGAGGCGCGAGGTGTGTAGCCGGCGGATGCGGAGAATCCCGGAGCGAGCTCAGGGCGGCAGCTTTTAGGTCCACAGCACGGCGGGAATGGCAGATTTTGGGATCTCAGCTGGCCAGTTTGTGGCAGTGATCTGGGATAAGTCATCCCCGGTGGAGGCTCTGAAAGATCTGGTGGAAAAGCTTCAAGCCTTAACTGGCGATGAGGGCCGAGTGTCTGTGGAAAATATCAACCAGCTGTTGCAGTCTGCCCACAAAGAATCTAGCTTTGACATTGTTTTGTCGGGTGTAATTCCTGGAAGCACCACTCTGCACAGTGCTGAGATTTTGGCTGAGATGGCCCGGATTCTTCGGCCTGGTGGATGTCTTTTTCTGAAGGAGCCTGTAGAGACAGCTGTAGCAGTTAACAATAGCACAGTGAAGACGGCATCTAAGCTGTGTTCAGCCCTGACTCTTTCTGGTCTTGTGGAAGTAAAAGAGCTGCAGCGCGAGTCCTTGAGCCCCGAGGAGATTCAGTCTGTCCAAGAACACCTGGCTTACCACAGCGACAGCCTGCTCTCTGTGCAGATCACAGGCAAAAAGCCCAACTTTGAAGTGGGCTCTTCTAGTCAACTTAAGCTTTCTACTGCCAAGAAGTCTTCCGGGAAGCCTGCTGTGGACCCTGCAGCTGCCAAGCTCTGGACCCTCTCAGCCAATGATATGGAGGATGAGAGTGTGGATCTTTTCGACTCAGATGAACTGCTGGATGCAGAAGATCTGAAGAAGCCAGACCCAGCTTCCTTGCGGGCCCCTTCCTGTGGGGAAGGGAAAAAGAGGAAAGCCTGCAAGAACTGCACCTGTGGCCTCGCAGAAGAACTGGAAAAAGAGAAGTCGAGGGACCAGATAAGCTCTCAGCCCAAGTCGGCTTGTGGAAATTGCTACCTGGGCGATGCTTTCCGCTGCGCCAGCTGCCCCTACCTTGGGACGCCGGCCTTCAGGCCCGGGGAGAAGGTGCTGCTGAGTGACCGAAGCTTCCACGACGCCTAGGGGGGCCGCGCCTACTCCTCCCCCAGCTCCCGCCCCTCACGCCCCCATCTCCTCTGACTTAGGTCCCTGGTGGGAGGGTGCTCAGGGGACAGCGTGGAACCGGCCGGGGCGCGGTGCTGTGCAGTGCTGCCATAGGTCAAGACCGAGGTGTCCTGGGGCCCCGCCACCCGAGCGGGGCCCTCCTTCACCCAGAGCGAGGGGAACGGTGCTCACCTCCAGTAGGCCGCTCTCCCTGCGTCAGTGCTGACTGTGACACTCTCGGATTCCGCCGCCCTTGAGTATTGACACCGTGACAGGGAGGGCCCTGTCTCATTCTGAGCTCCGCAGCAGCGCCCACAGCTCATCTCCCAGAGTTGGTGGTTTATTCACCATGCAGTTTTTAGTGGCGTGAAGCGAGGGTCTTGTGACCTCAGAGCACCAAGGGAATCACTCATGGGTTGCTGTGGTCATATCCAGTGTCCTGCTCCCTCCACTCCTCTCCCCCATCCCTGTGTTACTGTGTTACAGCTGTGTCCTATTTCATTTCTGTTCATCAGCAGGTATTAAAATGTATGTACTTAGGCATAAAAAATAAAATAAAATAAAAAATAAAAAAAATAAAAAAAAATAAAAATAATTGAAGTCAATACTGCTGCAGATCTGATAATGACACAGAGCAGAAACTATTCATTTATTAAAAACAAAAGCATTATCTACTATGTTCCAGGTTAGTGCTAGATCCTACTGTTAGCATCTGCTTTTTTTTTCTGATTTTTAAAATTAATGGTAAAATGTATATATGAACAGTACTTTCTATAAAGTACAATATTATGTTTTTAAATATGAGTGTTAAACACGTATTTAAACACTCACTTAAAAATGAGTGTTTTTTTTTTAAAAAAAGAGTGTTTTATGGGGGGAAATCAGTAGAGATAAGTTTTTCTTTTAGTTAATTTTTCTTGAGAGACAGAGAACCCAAAATAACAGTGACTTCAACAAAATTAAGTTTTTCTCTCTCTGGCAATAGATGTTCACAGTTAGTCAATGTAGGGAAAGATATTAACAGTTATAGGGACCCATACTCTTCATCTTTTTGCTAGATAAGACTTTTACCTCAAGGTACAAAATGGCTGCTGATTTCTATCCAGCAGAAAATAGGAATCATTGAATGAGGATGTACACATTCACCTTAATGATATATTTCAGAAATTATTCCTCCACCTTTGATTAGATTCTATGATTAGAACTTAGCCACATGGCTATATCTAGCTACACAGATTGCTGGGAATTTCCTTATTCAAAGTGGCCATTTGCCCAACTAAAAAAAAGGTTTTTTTATTTTACTATGGAAAAAGAGAGTATGTAATGAGAGGGCATTTGGTGGTCTCTGCCACAATAGGCAAACATCAGAGGTAAATTTGAAAAATTCATTTTGATGATATTGTTAGAAGATGGATCACTTCTCAGCCTTCTGGCTAAGACCAAATGTAGTATGGGGCTTCCCAGGTGGCACAGTCGTGAAGAAGCAGCCTGCCAGTGCAGGAGACACACAGGGACTGAGGCTCAGTCTCTGGCTCGGGAAGATCCTCTGGAGTAGGAAATGGCAACTCACTGCAGTATTCTTGCCTGAAAACTTTCGTGGACAGAGGAGCCTGGTGGGCTATGGTCCATGGGGTCGCAGAGAGTCAGGCATGACTGAGTGACTGAGCACACATTAAAATATGAATTTTGAGGAAGTCTTGGCCATTTTTATAGTACTCCATAAATTAATATTTCATGTTTATAGTTTATTATAAACTATTTCTTTAAATGTAAATCTTAAAGGAAATTGGTCTGAAAGCATTTCACAGAACAAAAATATGGCTTATGACATAAATAGTAAAAATAGAAATGATGTCATGTTCCTGCTTAGCTAATGTAGAAGAATTTCATCAGGTAATGCAGTGTTGATGAGTTAATAGCTTTCTCTAACTCTCCTGAATATATAATGTGCCTGAACTCCTGGTACATTGTGAAAGCTTCAGATGGGGTTTTCTACAAGTTATTCATTTTATTTTATGCAGTAAGAACTTGCAGTGCAAGATTTGGATTTCTTTTTGATGACATGCTGTACAATGGTTAAAAATGATGGTAATACATCAGTTTTGCTATAGAGTGGCAATCAACTGTGGATGTTGGCCATAGTATCAGCTCAGTTCAGTCACTCAGTCATTTTCAACTCTTTGCAACCCCATGGACTGTGGTACACCAGGCTTCCCTGTCCATCACCAACTCCCGGAACTTACTCCGGGAGCTTACTCTGGGAGTAAGCTCAAGTCCTTTGAGTCGGTGATGCCATCCAACCATCTCATCCTCTGTCGTCCCCTTCTCCTACCTTCAATCTTTCCCAGTATCAGGGTCTTTTCAAATGAATCGGTTCTTTGCATCAGGTGGCCAAAATACTGGAGTTTCTGCTTCAGCATCAGTCCTTCCAATGAATATTCAGGACTGATTTCCTTTAGAATTGACTGGTTGGATCTCCTTGCAGTCCAAGGGAATCTCAAGAGTCTTCTCCAACACCAAAGTTCAAAAGCATCANGCCCAACTCTCACATCCATAAAAGACTACTGGAAAAACCATAGCTTTGACAAGACAGACCTTTGTTGGCAAAGTTATGTCTCTGCTTTTTAATATGCTGTCTAGGTTGGTCATAACTTTTCTTTCAGTGAGCAAGCATCTTTTAATTTCATGGCTGCAGTCACCATCTGCAGTGATTTTGGAGCCCCCCAAAATAAATATCATGGGTACAGCTCTCAAAAACCAATAGGCAATGCTTTATTAGACCTCTCCAAAAGAAGGACGATAAACCCTAAAAGTTATCATCGGTAGGTGATTTGCTTAATTAGGTTGCTGTTTATTTAGAATATTATCCATTTAATTTATTGATTCTTTTAGTCTTAAAACTTAAATGGTTTCCTTAAATAAGCAGTCCAAGGACTTTATGCATTAAGGTATATTTTTCTTCCTAAGACTTTCCATTTTAGTCCAATATTTATGATATAAGATAAAACTCATAATCACATAGCAACTCAATTATTCTCAATCTTTCTTTGGCACGGATGTCTCTAGAAAATTGCTTTGAAATTAATGGCCTCAATTTTCTGATAGTTATTAAAAGTGATGCCTTTTGAGAAATATCACTGTTGCCATATTTTTGAGACTTGCATCTCAGTCAGGAAGTAATTTAATTTTAATTGTGGGTCATGCAGAGATCTGGAAGAAATTTTGGACATTTGAGTAGGCACCAGTAACTAAAATTTAAGAAAAGAATAACTATAGACCAATCATCTGAGAGCAAGCTGAACTCTCTAATTCTTTTACCGATATAGCACTTAGTTAAATACATTGCAGAATGCAGAATAAATCATATAAAAAGTACAGTGCATTCCTGGCATAAATACCAGTTGGCCATGGTATTAATATATAATTTTTAAAATATAGTTTGGTTTTGGACTCTGTGTGCTAATGTTTTATTTAGAATTTTTGTGTCAATATTCATAAGTGATACAGGTTCAATAATTTTTTTATGGGGCCAGTATTAAACTTGCTTCATAGAAATAATTTGGAAAATTTTCTTGATTTTAAATGCACATCTCTATTAATCTGCTTTACTTTTATTAGTGGTCCATCGAAGTTGAGTGTAAAATAAGACAAACTGATAAAAGGTGAAGTCACAATATTCATTTTTCTCTGTGAATAAAACATTGGTTTATAAGAAAAGGTGATTTTTTTTTATGATGGCATTAGAATTATCTGGTCTCTAAAAGTTTAGTATAATTGCTCTAAGTGCTTTTATGAAGAGTGATTTCTTGTTAACTTTTTCTAGTTCAATTACAGAAATTAGTCTAAGTTTTCTGTCTCTAGTAGGATGATTTTTGTAAACTATATCTTTCTAAGAAATTATTTGTTTAATCTATGTTTTTCAACTTTATTTGCAAAGATATACACAAAGTAGATTCTTATAATATGTTTTCTCTATCAGTAATTATTTCCCTTGTTATTTCTTATCTGCTTGCTTTTTCCCTTTTTGATAAATTAGCTAATGATTTCTCTAATTTTTTGATTTTCTCAAAGAGGTAGGATTTTGATTTATTAATTTAACATACTATTTTCTGGTTCTCTGACTTACTGATTTCCAATTTCATCATTAATATTTCCTTACGTTGCTTTGTTTTGGTTTACTTTGCTTTTGTTACCTCTTAATTTATTTTATTGATGTAGATATGTATTATTATAGTTTCTTTTGATTATTGCTTTAAATGTGCCTAATAGATTCTGTCATGTAGTGTTTTCATGAACAATATTTTCCATTTTTTACTGGTGTGTAATTTCTTTACAATGTTGTTTTATAGTTTCTGTGTACAATGAAATGCATCAGTTATATGTGTACATATATTCCCTCCCTTTTGGACTTCCCTCCCAGACTACCCCCCACCCCACCCATCTAGGTCATCACAGAGCACTAGGTTGAGTTCCCTGTGCTTTATAGCAGGTTCCCAGTAGTTAACTATTTTACATGTATATGCATATGTATATGTATATGTAATGTATATGTGTCAGTGCTACTTTCCCAATTCATCCCCCTCTTTTCTTCCCCTATCATGTCCACATGTCTGTTCTCTACATCTTTGTCTCTATTCCTGCCCTGCAAATAGGTTCATCTGTACCATTTTTCTAGACTTCACGTATATGTGTTAATATATGATATTTGTTTTTCTCTTTCTTAATTACTTCCCTCTGTATGACAGACTCTAGGTCCATCCAACTCTGTGCAAATGACCTAATTTCATTCCTATTTTATGGCTGAATAATATTCCATTTTGTGTGTGTACCACATGTTCTTTATTCATTCATCTGTCATTGGACATTAGGGTTGTTTCCAGGCCCTGGCTATTGTGAATCATGCTGCAGTGAACATTGGGGTGCATGTGTCATTTTGAATTATGGTTTCCTCAGGGTACATTCCTCAGGGTACATGCTGGAGAAGGC